TGGGGAATTCTGGGAGTTGAAGTCCACTCATCTTAAAGTGGCCAAGTTTGGACAACACTGGCTTACTTTAACTATCTGCCCCAAGTACTCTACCTTCTCTGTTTTTCACTTTCTTCCTACCATCTGCTCATATTCTATCCCACCAAGGTGACATTTTTTGTTCCTGTTCCAGTTTTTTTTTCTTTCTTTCATGCTTCTGCCAATCCTTGTGCTTCCTCATACTTTTATGTACAAGAGCCAAAATCTGCACCATTTATGCACAGTTTGCTGTAGCTTGCACACAATATACTTTGATCTTGTTTCCTGGTATTATTGCCTGATTTATTAACTAAACCTGCTTTGTACAAAGAAATCCAAGTTGAATTGGGGTACTTTGAAGAGATTCCATTGTTTTCAGAGTCAAAACTGAAAACAATTTTGAACTGAATTTGAACCCTGTGAAAGCCCTGTGAGTGATTCAGCAATTCAGAAGGCTACAGAAAGGCCAACGTAAAATCAAATAGTCACATTCCTTTTTATTTTCCATACAGGGAAAGTGCTATGATAGCACAGGAGAATTGAGTTACTGGTAGGACAATCTTCTAATCCGAGAGATCTTGAACTAGAATGGTTAGGGGGAAGGATGCTGAGTCATGTATTACGTGTTTTTCTCTTTCTCTGTTCCTTGTTACTGCCTTCTCATCTGCACAAGAACAGGTGAAGAGCTTGAAAGAAGCCAATGAGAGAAAGGGTTATTGTGTGTGACACATTTCTTGCTGGTATACCCAGCTGAATCCTCTATCCCTCAAAAATTATGAAATATCCAGCATTTTCTGGTAAGAAAAGTACTTTGAAGCAGGCATATCAACTCCATCCTGGTTCTGCATTTCATGGTAGTCATCCCATTCTTGTTTGCCATGAATGCTTTTTCTTTTCCTTTTTTTTAAATAGTGAGGCCAACAGGCACAATATATTATTTTATCTTAGAATAAAGCAGATCTTCATTTTTTACCAAACCATTCTCAATAGTTAAACATTTGTTCATAACTTAAAACTTGTGTTTGGGTAAATTAAGTTTTCATTACTTTGGGGATTCTGTCTCCTCCCCCCCCCAACTTAACACCCAGGGTTGTCTGCATTCTTGTTTTCACTTGCATCTGACTCAAGAGCCTTGACTCAATGGATAGCCATGTCCACAAATACGATCTTGTCTGCCCCAAAACAGAGCAATTATACAAATATTTTTTTCTTTTCAAAATGTTTAAAGGACCTTTGAAATAGGTAGCAACTGGGAGGGGAAATAGATTGTTTTTAGGGGGGGAAATCCACTTTTTGCTATCTTGGCAGTTTTATTATAGCTACTATAGCACCAACAGTATCTTTTCTCTTCTACCTCCCCTATAGGACCAAATCTTGTCAATAATTAGTTTTCCTTCTCCTTCGGTGCTGATAGTCCAAATCTGTTATATGTTGGCCAGAAATCTCATTAAGGTCCAAGAGCTCAAGTTAATTGATAGGAGAGTGACTTAATTAATCTCTCCCTTGATTATATCATTGTGATACAAATAGAGAGGGCAGAAAGGCACACACTGTTCTCCTGTTACATCTTTGAACTTTCCTATTGGCCCTTGATACACAAGCTGAACAATATTATCAACCAGGTAAAGTCTTGTTGAAATGGGAGAGCCCTAAAGTGACTCACTCACTTAAATCAACAACACACTGTTTGTTTCAGTACCAGTAAATTGAGACCCAGAACACAAGCAAGGATAAAATTACCAAGATATCATTGGATTGTTGATAGAATTCTCATTTAATTGTATTTGATACTCACCTAGTAAATGCTACAAGAACTGGGATAGGAAGAAGTGTTGTAAGATACAAGTTTAATTCAGGTGATACTTCCTCTATTTTTAACTGGCGTAACAGGCAAAGAGCAAGAGTCGTAGTAGTTGGGTGGAATGGCAAATGAGGATCAGTTCTTGAAATAAGATTTGCTGATTCCAGTCCTCCAAATTTGGTCAATTGTCTGTCCCTTATGAAAGTATAAGATTAGCATATATGGAATATAATTGCTGCTGCTGCTATTGTTAAATTATTTTTAAAAATATAACTGCCTTTTATTCTAAAATAATGGGGCAGTGTCCTAAAGACAGACATGAAAGATGACTATAGAATCAATCTCTTCCAAATGACATATAAGCCTTCACACGTGTCTCAAAGTTGGACATGTGGTTATCTGGCTTTAATTGTTAATAAAATCTAATTGTTCTTATTACAATATTTATAATTACATTTAATTGTTTTTTAAAATGTTGTATCAAACTTCCCCACCTGCACATCTTTCAGATATGTGGATTTCAATTCCTAGAAATTTTAGCAATGTCATGCTAATTAATAGAAAATCTGGGAGTTGAACTCAACATTTTTAAAGGCAATGTTGGCAAGGGGGTGTTGGAACTAGCAAAATGTGATAGCAGTCACTTGTCTACATTGCAGTGTTGTGTGTATTCTTCAGTGGGGTTATTTAATATAAATCTGTTGTCCTGGTAGAACTGCAATTTATGGCAGAAAATGTTAGAAAATTAAAAAATGAAGGTCTTTTGAAGGGTTTCCTATGTGGCTCAAACTGGAAGTGACCAAAATTAACTGAACAAAGACAAATCTTGATTATTACTGAGTAACTCCATTGTTTTGTTCAAATGTTGAGGACAGCTAGTTAGGTTTGGTTAAAGTTCACAGAAAGCTAAATTAGTTTATAAGCCAAACATAGATAAATGTATTTTGCACTTGCTTTAGGCCTGAGATTTTGTATATTTTTTTGTTTAATTTGATTGTTGATGCTTTGCTGCATATTTGCACATTGATGTTATGATAATACACACTCCAGTGCTGTGTCATCATTCCTCCCATCACTTTTCTTTGGCAGCTCAGTTCTTTTTTAAAAATGTAATCATAGCAGCAGTAGAACTGAAGAAAGCATTATTGGTGAAATAGTTGACCATCCCAGATAGAAATTCTGGATGTTGAAGCCCAGCCTTTTTGGAGAATATTAGGCCAGGGAAGAGAGGCTAAGCAGCACAATGTAAGCCTGAATTATTTTGACACTTTTGTTCAGTAACCAGCAGGATTCTGCATGAAAAATACCTGTCCTGCTAACAAGCTGACTTTAGAAGAAATGCTATTGGTAGCATTTCTAGCAATTTTCTACACTTCTGTCCCTATAACCAACTTGTTTTCTTTACTCTAGATACATTTTATCCTGCTGTTCAGCCGACAAGGGAAATTAAGACTTCAGAAATGGTTTATCACACTTCCTGAAAAGGAAAAGAAAAAAATCACCCGAGAAATTGTGCAAATTGTTCTGGCTCGAAATCAAAAAATGAGCAGTTTTGTTGACTGGAAAGACCTCAAGCTTGTTTACAAAAGGTGTGGATAGTTTTATAAATCAACTTTTTATATACCGTATGTCATTTCCATATGTGATACAAAGGGAAGAGGAATAAAAGCTCTGTAAATCAACGACCACTTGCTTATAAATATCAATTAGCTTGGCTGAATGAATTGACAAATAAAATGAGTTCAGTTCATCTTTTTTTTAAAAAAAATATTGTTTTGTGAAAAGAGAAAGATTACAGAAATTGTATCAATATACTAAAGAAAATCTACATTCAGAGAATCCTGTTAGCTGAAGAAAGAGTTGAATAACATTTTCAAAGTCAGTGGCTGCAACTGAACAACTTGGCCCAGTGTTTCTCAACCTCAAGAACTTTAAGATGTGTGAACTTCAACTCCAAGAATGCTGGCTGGGGAATTCGGGGAGTTGAGAAACACTGACCTGGCCAGCAGACTTTTTTTTTCAATGATATGATGAAAAATTTTGGTTTTCACAATCATTTGAGGGCTTTTAAGTGTAGAAGTGTGAGAATTTCTTTCTTGAAGCTCTTGCATTCATATTTCTGCTATTATTTCATGGTTTTTCATATGTACTTTTCTAGCAAATTCTGCTGCTAAGCTTGTGTGAGAAAATCTCAGGGTGCTCTGGAGCTGCCCATGAGCAAAGTCATGAGGAAATTGCGGGCTAATGAGGAAGACACTTACCTTAGAACAATCCATTTATTGGGCCAACTCAAGTCACAAAACAGTGTGCAAACTTTCAGTATGACCTTGAAAGGGGCTGAAGAGAAGCACTACTTGAATATGAATTTTGGATTGCTTTTAAACTTTTAATGATGTCAATTATTTGTATGAAAACTACACCAATATACAAATATTTAAAATATTATTTGGGGCTGATGATGATAAAAAATGAAGGTGTATGGAGGTATGTTAAGAAATAAAAAATAGGTTGCCATAGGACAGACCTGAGAGAAACAGGGTGAGGTTTTACCTCAGATTATGGTACTGAATTTTAACCTTACTTCATATCTACATAACTTAAATGGCACTTATTGTTTTCATAATCAGTGATAAACACTTTCCAGTGCACTTTTAAGACAAGTTATTTTATGATGTACTTTATAAGCCAAACTGAATAATGAAGAATAACTGATCATTAATATAGCCTAATGGTCATATTTTTTTTCTCCTCACTTTAAACTTAGGTATGCTAGTTTATACTTCTGCTGTGCAGTAGAAGACCAAGATAATGAACTCTTGACCCTAGAGGTTGTCCATCGTTATGTAGAGCTATTGGACAGATATTTTGGCAATGTAAGCTTATTTCTTTATCCTTGCCCAATAAATAATATTCTTTGCAATTATTCTGATTACATGCTTATCAAGTGTCTCTTGTCTCCCTGGCCTGTCAGGCCTAGCAAGATACAGGCTGTGTTCATACTTTGTATTAAGTCATAATGTTGCTTGTTTGGTTTGGCTTTGTATGTTGTATGAACCCAGCTATTGTTGTTTGTAAATTGTGGCTTAGAATACCGTATGGAGAAATCTAGCCAGTTAGGGCTTATTCAACAAGCCGATATGTGAATCCAATCATACTGTGATTCCCCCCCTCCCCCTTATGGGAAAGCAGGCTTGCAGGGAAAGGAGCATTGTATATTTTGAAATTGATTTAATTTTGATGTTCCTGACAAGGTAGAAATATTTTTGGTGCATAGTCTGTCCATTTAGAGAGATAGTTCAGCTTATTTGTGATTTATTATATTTTAACTATGTATTTCTAAGATTTATTAGTCATCCTCTAGGCAATACTTCTCCAGCCAATATAGCAAAAAGATATCCCAAATAAAATCTGTATAAATCAAGTAGAAAAAGGATAGATCATCTTGTGTTTCCCTGAAGGATTATGTCTGAACTCTTTTTCACCCAAGGCTTCAGTAGCTTTGATCAGCTGAGGTTCATGAGCCTGCCTGGAAAGAGGCTACCGTACTTGGCTGCAATTATTTTTCATGCTCTTCAGAGTACACTACTGTGGTGTGTAATTGGTGGGGCAACTTCTGAAAACTAGTCAGAAACTTCAACTAGTTAATGATACAGCTGCTAAACTTCTTGCTAGCATCAATCTATGGAAAAACATCTAGCTAATTATTAAATAGTAGTTACTAGTTCGTTTTCAAGGACACTTCCAAGTACTAGTCACCTGGCTATCCAGATTCACCATTTTTTATGGCTGGAAGAATGTTAAAATGCTGTGGAGAGGGTGAAGGCTAAATGAAGAACCTTCACATATTAGAAAATGGTGTGGTCTATGGCATGCTGCCAATGGACTAATCATCTATCATAAAAAATAAAGCTACTGACAACATACAGCCAGTAGCTTCACACTGTTACAGCATTATGGAAGACAATGTAGCCAAAGCTTTGAAGGAACACTACTTGCCATCAACCTGCCTGCCAGAAAGAATATTGTATCCTATCTCTTTCCCTAATATGGGTGAGCCGCTCATAAGATTACACATGTGATTATTCTGTCTACTTTAGTTCTTAATGTAATGTTCATCTCTATAAAGACTCTATATAGAGTACAGAGAAATATCAGGACACTGAGGGGCTAACTCTTCTAAAGCTCTCCTTTCCCCGCTGAAATTAATTTGTGTATAACCTTCCAATCCTTGCTAAAACAAATATACTGCATAACAGGTTTTCTTTTCATTTGTTTTTTCATCCCAGGATAATATAGGACCCATGAGTAAATTTGAAGAAAGATCACCATGTCTATAGAAAGGCAAAAATCATAGCCAGTGCATACTCTTTACATGACTTCTTATAAAACCCCACTGAATCTAGGACTTTATTTCTAGAGAAGTGTGAAAAGGATCGCAGTCTCTCAACAGTTAAGGAAATAAAATGATCTTGAAATGTCACATAGCTTTAAATTATTTCCCAACTTGAAACCACCAGGATACATTTAGTTTTGCATTTCCTTTGTTCCTGGCTGCCCTAGGAGTACACATATATACAGAGAAAGTCTGTATTTGATGAGTCTGAGTATACCCATATTCAGTAGTAGAATACTGACTCTAAATATTTATTTCTATAATCCTTACAGGTATGTGAGCTGGATATTATTTTCAATTTTGAAAAGGCATATTTTATTCTTGATGAATTTCTAATGGGAGGGGAAATTCAAGAGACATCCAAAAAATCTGCAGTGAAAGCCATAGAAGAAGCTGATATGTTACAAGAGGTAAGGCAGAAGAGAGAAGAAGAAAAAGATAAATCCATTCTTTTCACTCCTTTTTTTAAAAAAAATATTGTCGTGCTTATTGTTTAGGCCATTAATCATACTGTAACAAGATGAAGAATACAAAAACAAAAACCCCAGTACATAAGAGAGGAATAACAGAGAATACCAAAAGTTAGAACACTACAGGTAGTCCCTGGGTTAAGAATTCCTGGATTATAGATGATCCATAGTTAAGAATGGAGCCTATTGTAATAAAATTCATGTTAAATACACAATGATTTGCGTTAAATTCACAACGGTTCAAGTTAAATACACAATACTATTTATAAGCTATTATACAATAACACTGTTCCGGCTTACATACAAATTCGACTTAAGGACAGACCTTGGGAATGGAACTCGTTCTTAAACTGGGGACTACCTGTATATAAAAAGTTCCTGGTCACTTTATGATGTTCATATAGTTTTCTTGCAGATGATAACACCCTAATGGCAGAAAATGAAGAAGAACTAAAGAGCCTCTTGATGAGA